TGGGACCGCTCGGGAGGATATCGAAACCCCAGAACATTCTGTAACGGGGACCTTGAGCGGCTTGCTCAGCCCAATCCCACCCTATAGAGTGCTTTCATTTTCATTTTATTTTATTTTATTTATTTTTGAGATGGAGTTTCACTCTTGTTGCCCAGGCTGGAGTGCAATGGTGCCATCTCATCTCACCCAAACCTCTACCTCCCATGTTCAAGAAATTCTCCTGCCTCAGCCTCCCGAGTAGGATGACACAGTGAGACTCCATCTCAAAAAATAAAAGAAAGGAAAGAAAGAAAGAAAGAAAGAAAGAAAGAAAGAAAGAAAGAAAGAAAGAAAGAAAGAAAGAAAGAAAGAAAGGGTTTGGAATTCAGAAAAGACAAGGGGGTCAGGTAGGTGCCTGGGGCGTGACTCCCCTAGTGGGCCTCTTGCCTTGGGAGCGCTTGAGTGTGAGACTCTTGGTTAAATCTCTCCTGGATCAGGAAAAAGAGCTAGAAAGAGGAGAGGATTCTCTCTCGTGTGCACTCTCTCTCTCTCTCTCTCTCTCTCTCTCTCTCTCTCTCTCTCTTCCCCCTCTTCCCCCCACCCTCTCTCCCTAAGACAGAGTCTCGCTCTGTCACCCAGGCTGGAGCGCAGTGGCACGATCTCCACTCACTGCACCTCCGCCTCCCGGGTTCAAGCGATTCTCCTGCCTCAGCCTCCCGAGTCGCTGGGACCACAGGCATACGCCACACACCCGGGTCCTCCTGATCCGTTGTCCCATTTGGTGAAGGGGCTGGTGCCACCATGGATCCTGCCAGGTTACAGATTAATAGATTAGTCCTAGTCAATCTCCTAGCCACTCTTCAGCCAGCAGTGGGTTCTGCCCCTGAAGAAATCTTTCACTGGAGGGAGAATTCTGGAGGTCCCTGGTCGCGATCAGTATCCAACTCCTGAAGCTCCTGAGGAAATCCATGAGCGGATAAGAGAGGAGGGTGTGTGCTGAGCTCGTGCTCAGGCGGATAACCGCACAGAGGCCTGGAGCACAGGGTAGGGAGGGAAACGGCGCGGCTCGGAGGCTGGATTTCCAGATGAGACGCAGCACACAGGCAGTTTCTCCCAAGGTTGTATCTTGACACCTGGGGCAGGGAGAGGAAAACGTAAAGAAGAAAAGTTCAAAACGGCCTTTGCCTCGTTGCACCCCCGAGAGCAAGCTGGGTCACCAGGAGCTGCCCGGGAAAATCCAGCCACGGTTCTCGCTCTTGTCAAGTCCGTTCGATCCGGAAATACGGCCGCAGCGTTTCCATCAGTGCACGAATGACATCGGTTCGTGGACTTCAAGGATTATCCAAGGCATCTACTGTGAAAAGCCATGATAGTTCTTTGTACATAAAATAAACATTAAAAAAAAGAAAGAAGGCTGGGCTCAGTGGCTCACGCCTGTAATCCCAGCACTTTGGGAGGCCCAGGTGGGTGGATCACGAGGTCAAGAGATCGAGACCAACCTGGTCAACACAGTGAAACCCCATCTTTACTAAAAATACAAAAAATTAGCTGGGCGTGGTGGCGCATGCCTGTAATCCCAGCTACTCAGGAGGCTGAGGCAGAAGAATTGCCTGAACCCAGGAGGCGGAGGTTGCGGTGAGCCGAGATCGCGCCATTGCACTCCAGCCTGGGTAACAAGAGCGAAACTCCATCTCAAAAAAAAAAAAAGAAAGAAAGAAAGAAAGAAAAAACTAAGGTTTAAAGCGCAGCTTGAGGACCCACGGGGCCGTCGGGGTGCGGGAGGCCACTGGCCTTGGTCTCATCATCACTGCCACCGTGGCCAACACGGTGAAACCCCATCTCTGCTAAAAACACAAAACATTTGCCAGGCGTGGTGGCAGGCACTGGTAGTCTCAGCTACTCAGGAGGCTGAGGCAGGAGAATGGCTTGAACCCTGGAGGCGGGGGTGGCAGTGAGCCAAGATGGCATCATTGCAGTCCAGCCCTGGCGACAGAGGAGACTCCGTCTCAAAACAAAACAGAAACAAACAGAAACAAGAAAGAACTGGAGGCTTAGGCAGGCCAAAGCAGCAGCTCCGGCTGGAACCGAAAGGTGCCACCTGCAGAGGGAGAAAGAGTTCAAGGCCAGGGAGGCTGCGGCTCTGGGAGCCCAGGGCATCTGCGGCCCCGCCGTGGAGAAGGAGACCCGGGAGAGGGTGACAGCTCCGGACCTGCTTTCGGCAGAAGAGGGATGACGTGGTGGATAACCTCTTGGCTTCTGTCTGTGACATTTGGCCAGAAATCCATGAAAACTTCTGCATAAATGGATAGAAGAGAGAGTCGGCTGTTCTGTGGACTGGCATTTTAGATGCCCTCGTGGAACAGGAAGCTTTAGCACCGCTCTATTATACGCCTATGAAATGGCAATACATTGTTTCCGTATGTTATACAGCAGGTCCTTCCACTTTTTGGAGAGTAGCAAATCTACAGACTTAGAAACTGTCCAAAAATGTCACCTTTTTACCTCCCATTTATGAGGAATTTAATGGGTAGATGTCTTTTTCCCTATGCCTTTTGGCTCAAGGGCAGGGTCCAGCCCCACAGGGTCTAGGGGGTGCTCTTTTGTGTGCAGAGACAGTAGATCGCAGGAAAGAAAGACACAAGACACAGAGATAGAAGAATTCAGCTGGGCTGGGGGCCACTGCCACCAAGGGGTGGAGTCCAGCAGTGGCCCCGAATGCCTGGATATTTATTGTACACAAGGCAGGGGGCAGGGCCGGAGAGTGACTCATCTGACATGATTCACAGGGGTCAAGCAAATCACATTCTTACAATATGGGGGGCCATGTGGGTATAGTACACAGGGTCACAGGGGTGCAGTGCAGAGGGCCCCTCCCTCTCAGGCAGCCGCTGCAAGGAGGGGAGGCAAATACGTCAGTCGTGTGCTTATCAGAGAGATCAGAGGCTTTTAGGGTTCCTCTATTCTTACTTCTCACAGCCTCTAAGAATTTACAAGGGAGCAGCGGGTGGGAAAGTGGAACCCGAAAGTGGACGAGGATGGTGACCGTCAGAGCACCGTGCCACGGAGAGGTGTGTGAGCCCCTGGATGTCTGCGGCCGGCCTGGCTAGTGTCAGGCCTTCCTCGAGAGCCGGCTGGAGCAGAGTGTTCTCTGAACTCCCCAGTGAAAGGGGAACTCCCCTAAGGCCTGCTAAGTAATGGGCGCCTCCCCAGGCACTGGTGCTACCGCAAGGCCCTCACTCTTGTCTCCTGATCAGTCCTCACAATGTCCCTTCAGTTCCTAATTATATTTCACCCAATTATGTCTATACTATAAGACAAAAATGTTCCTACACTATAATACTAAATATTAATAGAAAATAATGATGTTGGCTGGGCGTGGTGGCTCATGCCCGTAATCTCAGCATGAGGCAGGCAGATCACAAGGTCAAGAGATTGAGACCATCCTGGCCAACATGGTGAAACCCTGTCTCTATTATTAAACAAAATAAAAATAAAAAAATAAAGAGAGTAATAATGTAATAAGCTTGATTACATAATTGATTATGTGATTGAATCTAATTTGTATTTGGTGTCATTGCTATAACTAAGTAATCAGTTATTTGTTATGCTGGGACATATTGTGCCTTCAGTCTCTTGCCATGTCACCTAGGCAACTGTCTTCCCACACCCAAGCAGCATGTCTACCGGTGTTGACTTTTTCTTTCTTAGATCTAATTTAAAAAAACAACAAGCCGGGCGCGGTGGCTCACGCCTGTAATCCCAGCACTTTGGGAGGCTGAGGCGGGTGGATCACAAGGTCAAGAGATCGAGACCATCCTGGTCAACATGATGAAACTCCGTCTCTACTAAAAATACAAAAATTAGCTGGGCATGGTGGCGCCTGCCTGTAATCCCAGCTACTCGGGAGGTTGAGGCAGGAGAATTGCCTGAACCCAGGAAACGGAGGTTGCGGTGAGCTGAGATCGCACACTCCAGCCTGGGTAACAAGAGCGAAACTCCGTCTCAAAAAAAAGAAAAGAAAAAAACAAAACAAAACACATAACAACTCTCTGAAGAAAGGAAGAGATTAAATAATATTTTTCCTTAACACTTTCTTGAAGGTCAGGGGCTTTATGAAAAAGTAGTAAATAGTTATTTGTAACCTGTGCGAGGCAGCAGCCAGCCTTAAAGTCGTCCATTCTTGCCAATGGTTAGAACAGTGAATACCAGTGGAATTGTTTGCACTGTGTTTAGTTTCTCTTAAGATTACTAGATGATAGAATTCAAGAACTTGTTACATGCTATCATTTCATGTATCGATAGTCATTTAAAAGTAAAGACTGTTACGCCAAAAAAAAAAAAAAAAAAAACCGCAGTTCGAGGCTCAGCTGCTCCGCTGCTGGTTGATTCTAGAACCACTTTGCTAAATATTTTATACATCCCCACTCCGTGGTCGCTTATGAGATTTAATAACTGATTCTGGTCCTTAAGCAAAATAACACTGACAACCATGAGGCCACTGCGACTGTGGGAATGAGGCTGGCGGCGGAGGCCCCAGGGAGGAGCTCGCGCTCTCAGCCACGTCCCGACGGTCCCCGCCTTCGCCCCGCCCGGTGGTCCCCGGAGGTCACGGAGGTCAGGCTCCTAGAGGCGTGGCCGGGCCCCACCCATCTCCCTTGAGCTCTCGCAAGCTCGACCCAGGCTCCGCCCCCAAGCCAAGGCCCTGCCCCCTCCGCTTGCACCTGCGCAGGCCCCGCCTCCTAGGCCCCGACCCCTCAGCCTGCGCCGGCCCGCTCCCCAGGCCCCGCCCCCTCCGCCTGTTCCTGCGCGGGCCCGTCCCCCAGGCCCCGCCCCCAGCCCCCGCCCCGCCTTCCGCCTGCGCCTGCGCCGGCCCATCCCCTAGGCCCCGCCCCCAGGCCCCCGCCCCGCCCCTGCGCCTGCGCCGGCCCGTCCCCTAGGCCCCGCCCCCAGGTCCCCGCCCCGCCCCTCCGCCTGCGCCTGCGCCGGCCCGTCCCCTAGGCCCCGCTCCCAGGGCCCCGCCCCGCCCCTCCGCCTGCGCCTGCGTCGGCCGGCACCCCGAGCCGGGCCAACCATGGTGAACCTCGGCTTGTCCCGGGTGGATGACGCCGTGGCCGCCAAGCACCCGGTGAGAAGGCCGGCCTGGGACGCGGGCAAGCCTCAGACCTCAGAAGCTGGCCTGAGCGAGGCGGGGGGCTGGGGCTGGGGCTGGAGAGGGGGGCCCTCGTCAGGGAAGAGTGGCGAAGGCTGGGGGCACCCACTGCTATGGGGCACAGGGCGTCCGGGTGGGCACAGGGGAGGTGGGACGTGTCCGAGCGCCCAGGGTCTTGTCCACAGCCAGGGTGTGGCCAGAGGAGGGACAGGAGAGGCGGTGAAGGAAGAGGGCAGGGGCCGGGCGCGGTGGCTCAAGCCTGTAATCCCAGCACTTTGGGAGGCCGAGGCGGGTGGATCACGAGGTCAAGAGATCGAGACCATCCTGGTCAACATGGTGAAACCCCGTCTCTACTAAATATACAAAAAATTAGCTGAGCATGTGTGCGCGTGCCTGTAGTCCCAGCTACTCAGGAGGCTGAGGCAGGAGAATTGCCTGAACCCAGGAGGCGGAGGTTGCGGTGAGCCGAGATCACGCCATTGCACTCCAGCCTGGGTAACAAGAGCGAAACACCGTCTCAAAAAAAAAAAAAAAAAAAAAAAAAGAGGGCAGGGAACTGAGCTTCACCCCCGCTCTGCCACCGCAGGGACTCCGGGAGTATGCCGCGTGCCAGTCGCAAGCCTTCATGGGGGGCGTTTGCGCCTTCATCACAGGTAGGCTGCAGCAGGTGTTCCGCGGCACGGAGAGAACGCACCCTCCTGCCCCGCCCTGGCTCCCTAGCAGGGGGGTGCCAAGTCACCTGCCCGCAGGTGCCGGGGCCCTGGCAAGGTGGGCCCTGGCCAGCCCCGGGTATGGGCACGGGCTGACTGATGGGGACCTCGGCTCCTTGCAGGCACCGGCGCGGCCTTCGGCTTGCAGATGTTCATTCAGAGGAAGTTTCCATACCCTTTGCAGTGGAGCCTACTAGTGGCCGTGGGTGGGTACTCCTGGGCCCCTGCCTGGGCTCTTTGTGGGGTGGGCTTCTGCTAGGGTTGGGGGCTGTGGTTCTGCATCTGTGACTCTGACATGGAGCCCCAAGTCTTGGCGGGAGCCCCACCTGGGCCCATCCACCACATCTGCCAGGAACTAGCCCTATCTCACCCTGAGAAGCACAGAGACCCCAGCCCCCTCTTCCACTCACTGCTCCACAGTTGCCGGCTCCGTGGCCAGCTACGGAGTAACGAGAGTGGAGACAGAGAAATGCAGCAACCTCTGGCTCTTCCTGGAGACCGGGCAGCTCCCCAAAGACATGAGCACAGGTGAGAAGAGCCTGGGGGTTAGCCGGAAGTGGATGCCACAGCTCCAGTGCCCAGGGTTTTAGGCAGCCAGGCCTGGGTGCCCCCCTTCCCCTGCCATGACAGGCTAGACAAGGTCTCTCTGGCCCCGTCTCCTCAGCATGTGACTCCCAGATGGGCTGGAGCTGGGGGTAGGCACAGTAGACAGATCGTGGAGAGCTCCCTTTGCTGGAGGAAGAACCAAGAGGGGCTGGGGTGCCCCTGAAATGGAGAGGAAGGGTACAGAGTGAGGGGCATGGCAAGGCCACAGCCAGCCACGTGGGCACCAGGACGAGTGAGGCTGGACTGGGAGGCTCTGCATTGGACCCAGGCCTGGCCCCCACTGCCTGCTGTCCTTCTTATGGGACCCAGTTTTTGCCACGATAAAATGGGTGCAGGGACGCCAAGCCAGGACAATGTGGTTCGAGCTTGTCTCTCTTTGGCTCTTACAGATCGGCGAAGCTAGGAGAGCTCCAGCCGGGGCACAGAGGTTGGGAGCAGGAGGAGTCCTGGAACAAGCCTTCATGCCCCCCCAGCCCCAGGCTGACCCTCCCCACACCCTAGGGTGCCCCAACCATATCTTCTGTCCATGGGCATGGCCAGGCCTAACAGCCCCTGCAGACAGCTTCTGCCCCCACCTGGGATGCGCCCAGTAGGCTGGAGCAGAAGGGGCTCTCCCTGGGTGGTGGTGCTCCTCCAGGCTATCGGGAGGCATGGTCCGCACTGCCAGTAGAGATGGTGTGTCTGGGAGCCCCCGCCTAGGGCTGGTGCACGCTGTCATTCCCTTTCTGGCCCCTTCACCTCCGACAAGTCCAAGGTGACAGCTGGTGCTAGGGTGTGTGGTTAATAAACGGCTTACCCTCCTCTCCACCCGAGTTTCCACCTGGGCAGGTGAAAAACAAATCAGCAGGGTAAGATGATGACAGGTCACATGACACCTTTATTACCCTGCATTTGATACATGAGGTTCACATTTAAGTTACATACTGAGGACGTACAGGGAAGTTCCCAACACTGAACCCCAGAATTAAGACTTTTGCGTGGAAGACAGTGTGGCGATTCCTCAAGGACCTAAAAATAGAAATCCCATTTGACTCAGCAATCCCATTACTGGGTATATATCCAAAGGATTATAAATCATTCTACTACAAGGACACGTGCACACGAATGTTCATTGCAGCACTGTTTACAATAGCAAAGACCTGGAACCAACCCAAATGCCCAACGATGATAGACTGGATAGGGAAAATGTGGTACATATACACCATGGAATATTATGCAGCCATCAAAAACGATGAGTTCACGTCCTTTATAGGGACATGGATGAACCTGGAAACCATCATTCTCAGCAAACTGACACAAGAGCAGAAAATCAAACACCATATATTCTCGCTCATAGGCGGGTGTTGAACAATGAGAACACATGGACACAGGGAGGGGAGCACTATACACTGGGGTCCGTTGGGGGGAAATGGGGGAGGGGCGGGGGGTGGGGAGGTGGGAAGAGATAGCATGGGGAGAAATGACAGATACAGGTGAGGGGACGGAAGGCAGCAAAGCACACTGCCAGCTGTGTACCTATGCAACAATCTTGCATGTTCATCACATGTACCCCAAAACCTAAAATGCAATAAAAAAAAAGACTTTTGCACCAGCCCTGAGGCCACATGAGACCACCACAGCCTCTCTGTATGGGGGTCTGCCTCTGTAGCAGTTGGCATGTAGGGGACAAAGCTAAAGGGGCGAGGCCGGCCAGAGCTTGGCTGCTGGGAGAGGAGGGCTCACGGGCTGCGCCCACCTGCCGGCCATTCCACACTTGTCCATCAGCCGAAGTGACTCCCCAGAGGCAGAGCTAGGCTGTCGGAGCTGTGTCTGTGCACAAGGAAAGCTGCTGAGTGGGCAAGTCTACCCACAGCCCCAGCCCCGACAGAAGGAAGAGGTGGACACCAAACAATCTCAGCTAGCCATCATGGTCACAGCTGGCTCCCTGCAGCATGGACGCCCACAGCCCCAGCCCTGCTGCTCCAGCCCCAGCTCAGCCCGCACCTCACCTTGCCAGTCACTGGAAAGAAAGAACTGAGTACCTACTGCATCTTCAAAGTGACAGGAAGCGGAAGATGACTGCCTTCAGCAAGATGGAGCTGTATTTTTCTGGGTTTTGTGGGTTTTTTTTTTTTTTTTGAGACCGCGTCTTGCTCTGTCATGCAGGCTGGAGTGCAGGGGCATGATCTCGGCTCACTGCAACTTCCATCTCACTGGTTCAAGCGATTCTCCAGCCTCAGCCTCCCGAGTAATTGGGATTACAGGTGCACACCACCACAGCTGGCTGATTTTTGTATTTTTAGTAGAGATGGGGTTTCACTGTGTTGGCCAGCTTGAACTCCTAACCTCAGGTATCCGCCCACCTCAGCCTCCCAAACTGCTCGGATTATAGCCTGGCCGAGCTTCATTTTTCATGTAAAAGTCCAAGTGGGTGGTCCAGGGTTGACAGGGAGTCGGGGACCAGGCTCCTTTCAGTCTGTCCCTGCCGCAGTGGCCTCTGTTCCCAAATCTGCCTCATGGCGCCAGGTGGCTGCACTGGCTTCGGCCACTGTGTCTTTATGTCATCTGAGAGGGAGGAAGGGCAGCTGCCCCCACTGCCACTCTCGCTCTGTTTGCCCGAACGAAGTTGCCAGAAGGCTCAGGAAGGCAGACCTGCTGGGGGCAGCTGTGCACCCACTCACATTCAGGGGTTTCATATCTGCGGAAGAAGGACCGCAGGCAGTCTCTGCCTCAGCTGGATTCCAAGCTTGGACCCACAAAAGAAGGGGAGGCGAGCAGACCACACCTTTAGCAGGCCGTCCGACCCTGAGGGTGAGGCCTGGCTTGCTGAACCTGGAGTTTGCCTGGACTGGCTTTCCAAAAACAGTGACCAGAAAAGGAAGGGAACTGTGCGAGAGCTCGCAGAGGAAGACGCTGTGACAGCACGGGCAAAGGCCACTGTCGGGCGGGCTTGGGTCCCCTCAAATTCCTGTATGAGGCCCTGACCCCCAGGACCTCAGTATGTTTGGAGATGGGGCTTTACAGAGGCCATTACGGTAAAATGAGGTCATTGGGATGGGTGGGCCCTAATCCAATGGACTCGTGTCCTCATAAAAAGACGAAATTAGGACACAGACACACAGGGGGACGACCATGTGAGGACACAGGGAGAAGACGGTGTCTGCAGGCCACGGAGCGGGGCCTCAGGAAGACAGCAGCCCTGCTCAGCCCGGCTCTCCGCCCACAGCCTCCAGGCTGTTCATACCCCGCAGTCCGTGGCGCCTTGTTTTTGTTTTTTTGAGACAGAGCCTTACTCTGTCGCCCAGGCTGGAGTGCAGTGGCACAATCTCAGCTTGTGGGGTCCAGCCGTACAGGGTCATGAGGTGTCCCCATCGCTGTGCTTAGGTGCAGGATCCAAGAAAGAAAGACAGACACAGAAGGACAAAATGCAGCTGGGCTCGGGGGGCGCGCCACCTACCAGCAGGGACAGGCCAGGCCCCGAACATCCAGGAGCATCTATATTTATTGGGTATAGGTTAGCGGGCAGGGTAGTGAGTGGGGTCATCTTAAGGATAGTGATAGGGTCAATACAATCATGTGAACAATAAACAAGGGGTCCACCCCCAATGGGTCACCTAGGCTAGGAAGTGGGCAGTGTGCAGCAAGGGGCCCACCCCCATTAGGTTGCCGAGGCAAGGAGGTGGGCCGTGCGCCATGAAGGGGGTGCAGTGTGCAACACTTCTTATCTAGGCGCAGGCTACTTCAAAGGAACTCTGGGAGGATGCTTTGAGTCAGCACAGTAGTTAAAGAGCCGTCAGGGTACACAGCTACCTGCTGGCAGCTTCCAGTGATTCTATAGGAGGATGCTTTGAGTCAGTACACCAGCAGGGCTGGTGGGGCATACAGCCACCTAGGCTCAGTTACACTGGAGGGGTTTTAAGCCCTCAGGTGCACAAGAACTGGACGCAAGGTACTGCAGCTCCTTTTCAGGAGTGACTTGCTCCAAGCCTGCCATTCAGTGGGTATCTTTATGATACTGAACGCTGCTGCCTGGGCCAGCCTGCTGGGTAGCGAATGCCCTTTCAGGCAGAGGCACTACCACCTGGCCCTAGATTCTTGTCCTGGTATAACTGTTTTTCCTTTAATTCTTGCTCTGTACCATGTCTGCTCTAGACATTCCCCTGACTACAAACTAACATATAACTGAGTAGTAAGATATTCCTCAGGCACTAATTGTTCCAACTATAGATTAATATATGATTATATATAAAGGATTACATACAAGGAAATAACTGAGTACTAACACTATAAACTAGGATATTCTTCAGGCACTAATTGTTCCGGGGGTCTGCTTGGCTCTCCTTCCTCGGTGCCCAGAAGGGGGGTTTCCCACCTGGCTCACTGCAACCTCTGCCTCCTGGGTTCAAGCAATTCTCCCTCCGCTTCCCAAGTACAGTAGCTGGGACTACAGGCACCCACCATCACACTGGGCTAATTTTTCTATTTTTAGTAGAAACAGGATTTCTCCATATTGACCAGACTGGTCTCAAACTCCTGACCTCTGGTGATCCACCCGCCTCAGCTTCCCAAAGTGCAGGGGTTACAGGCGTGAGCCACTGTGCCCAGCTACTGCACCTTGTTATGGCCACCTGAGCCTACTAAGGCAAGGCTGAGAAAAGGTACCCCATCATCTCGTGCATACCCCCACGGAGTTCCAGGCTGCGTGGTGCTCCAGGCACTTCCGTCTAAGGGAAGGGCGGAGGGGGTGCAGAGATGGAAACTAATCCCTTCTGACACATGAACCCAAGACCCAGTAATTCCCAAAGGAAAGTGGGGGCAAAGCAGGGCGGGCTCCAGACAGCATGGCCAACGTCAGGGACAGAAGTCAGAAGAGATAAGGCTGTGGTGTCCCAAGAGCCGGGTCACCCAGGGTATGGAGTCTGGACTTGGGGCTGGAGGTAGGGGTGCAGATGGAGGTCCTGTAAGGCAGGAACAGAATAACTTTAGGAGGCTCGCCCAGCTGCTTTGTGGAGGACGGACTGGGGCATGGGAGGGGCTGGGGAGGGAACCTGGTGCAGGTAAGAGGTGCTGGTGCTGCCGACCCATCACAAACCTCCCCCTCAAAGAAAGTGGCACATGCACCCAGTGAGCTCCTGTTTCAGTTAGGACACAGGTCCAGAAGCTGGGGGCAGAGTGGGGCAGGGAGGTCCTGCAATTCCAGGGTTGCCCAGGCAGTTAGAACCCTGGCTCTCCTCATAATGCAGTGAGGTTCTGGGGACAGTCTGAGTGGCAGCTCTGAGCAAGCCAAGCCCAGGGAGGCTTTGAGGTACACAGGGTCACTGGGGGCAGCCATGAGGAGGCACAGCGAGACAGAAGTGGAGGAGCAGACCCAGGAGCTGAAGACTATCACTCGGCTCCAGGGTGAGCCTGCACTGCCGCGACCAGCCTGCCATGCCCGCCTGGGGCTCGGGGTTTGAGGGTGCACAACTTTCAGGGGTTTGTTTTGTTTTGAGATGGAGTCTCCCTCTGTCACACAGGTTGGAGTGCAGTGGCACAATCTCAACTCACTGCAATCTTTACCTCCCAGGTTCAAGCGATTCTCCTGCCTCAGCCTCCTGATTAGCTGGGACATCAGGTGTGCGCCACCATGCTCAGCTAATTTTTTTTTTTTTGAGACGGAGTTTCGCTCTTGTTACCCAGGCTGGAGTGCAATGGCGCGATCTCGGCTCACCGCAACTTCCACCTCCTGGGTTCAGGTGATTCTCCTGCCTCAGCCTCCTGAGTAGCTGGGATTACAGGCACGTGCCACCATGCCCAGCTAATTTTTTTTTTTGTATTTTCAGTAGAGACGGGGTTTCACCATGTTGACCAGGATGGTCTCGATTTCTTGACCTCGTGATCCACTCGCCTCGGCCTCCCAAAGTGCTGGGATTACAGGCGTGAGCCACCAGGCCCGGCCTAATTTTTGTATTTTTATTATTTTTTTTAGATGGAGTCTTGCTCTGTCACTCAGGTGGAGTGCAGTGGTATAATCTCAGCTCACTGCAACCTCCACCTCCTGGGTTCAAATGATTCTCCTGTCTCAGCCTCCCAAGTAGGTGGGACTACAGGCATGTACCACCATGCCCGGCTAGTTTTGTATTTTTAGTAAAGACAAGGTTTCAGGCTGTTGGCCAGGCTGGTCTCAAACTCCTGACCTCAGGTGATCCACTCATCTTGGCCTCCCAAAGTGCTGGGATTACAGGCGTGAACCCTGTACCTGTCCATTGAGAGCCCTTCAGACAGCCGCTGCTGGGCAGTGGAGTGGTGTCCCCCAGGACAGAGTGGGAGGAGGGATCTTGGCCGTGGAGGTGGCATCCCCCCAGACCCAGGGCTTCCCTAATTCAAGCCTCCCCTGGAGGATTCCAGGGCAGGCTCTTGGCCCAATCCTGGCCACTCTGACTCCTTCACCTGCCCACAGAGCAGTGTCGGGCCCTCCAGATCCAGGGGGTGAAAGAGAGTATGAACCAGAACAAGGCCACGCTGGCGCTCCTGCACAGCAAGATCCGCCGCGGGGCCCATGACTGGGCTTTGGCCAAGAAGGTGCACAAACCCCGCTCCTCCCGGCTGCCTGGGGAGCAGGGCAGGAGCAGAGGACACACAGGGGGAGGGCGGGCAGCTCCTCTCCACCCCCACCCCGACCTTCCTGGAGCCAGGGGGCATGTGAGGAGGGGCTCTGCTAGAAGCTGTGCCCAGCGCTCCAGTCACCCAGCATCTGGTGGGCAGGTTCACCCCAGAGGGCTTGGCATCTGTGAGCCCACATCCTGAAGCAGGGCCCCTCTGGATCTCCAGCCAGCTGGGGGAAACCTGTGCCCTCCTCTGCATGCCCACCCTCCCCCAACCCCGTTGCATCCGAGCTTGGGTGGCCAGGATGGGGTCCCGCGGCGCTCTGCTCCTCGTGGGAGCAGGGGGTCTCGCTGCTCGACTCTCACGGGATACAAGAGGTCCTGGGGGGAATGCCTGGAGGGGCCGTCGGCTGGGAGTGCGCAAAGGGCCCGACTCAGCTCAGCCGCCACTGCTCTGCAGTATGACCAGTGGATCATCTCCAAGGCCTGCGGGAAAAACGTGCCCTTGCGGCTGGCGCACTGCCGCAGCACCATGGAGGTAACCAGGCACGTGAGGCCTCGAGACCCAACCCTCCCCGCCCCCGCCAGCGCACCCCCCCACTAGATGTTGCGGAGCGGATGAGGGACGGAGCAGGTGCCCAGCCCCAAGGTCCTTGTGGCGTTGCCACGAGCCTCCACCCACCTACTGCTGGCGGGCTCCGTGGCGGCCCCCTGCGCACCCACGCGCGGGCGGTGCCCTTCCCGACCCAGGTGGCGCAGGAGAAGCTGCGCAAGTACGTCTTCGACCGTGTGAACGCGCACAACCTGCTGATCCACCTGGTGCGGCGGCGCGGGGAGAAGCTGGAGAGCATGCATCTGGAGCTGGCCAGCCTGCGGAGCCAGCCCGACGCCAGCAAGGAGGAGCTGCGGCTGCTGCAGGTGGGAAGGCGGGGCTGGGAGGACGGGACGGGGCCACCGGGTCAGGGCTGGCGGGAGGGGCGGGGCCACCGGGGCGGGGCAGGCGGGAGGGGCGGGACCACCGGGGCAGGGCTGGCGGGAGGGGCGGGGCCACCGGGGCAGGGCTGCCGGGAGGGGCGGGGCCACCGGGGCAGGGCTGGCGGGAGGGGCGGGGCCACCGGGGCAGGGCTGCCGGGAGGGGCGGGGCCCCTGGGGCAGAGCTGACGGAGGGTGAGGGGCGGGTGGGCGAGCACGACCCCCTCCGAAGAAAGCCCAGGCCCGACGCCCTCTGGGCAGCTGGTCCCCAAGCACCCTCACCGCGCCCTCGGTCCGCCCCAGATCATCCGCCAGCTGGAGAACAACATCGAGAAGACAATGATCAAGATCACCACCAGCCAGAACATCCACCTGCTGTACTTGGACCTGCTGGATTACCTGAAGAAAGTGAGCTCAGTGGCCCGGGGCGGGTCCGGGGCTGGGATCTGGGAGGGCCGGAAGCGTCCTGGGCTCTGCTTGAGCATAGGCTAAGTAGGACGTTGAAGCATGTGGAACATGTTTTTTAAAACTTCATTTTTGGTCTTGGCGCGGTAATTCCAGCACCTTGGGAGGCCAAGGCAGGTGGATCACGAGGTCAGGAGTCCACCTGGCCCAGATGGTGTAACCTCGTCACTACTAAAAATACAAAAATTAACCGGGCGTGGTGGTGTGTGCCTTTAGTCCCAGCTGCTCGGGAGGCTGAGACAGAGAATTGCTTGAACCTGGGAGGCGGAGGTTGCAGTGGGCAGAGATGACGCCATGACACTCCAGCCTGGGTGACAGAGCGAGACTCCATCTGTAAAAAAACCAAAAACTTCATTTTTGGCTATTTCAAAAAAGCACATTGTGGGGGTGTATCAGAATGCTTTGGACTTTCTTGCACGCAGTAAATGATTTAGTATCGCTTGTATTTTGCCCATCATCTTCTGATTGCCTGGGCCTCTGACAGTCAGAGACAGGTCCTGCACCCTCAGAAAGTCTTCGCACTTTTGAGGGTTGCCTGGGCCTGTAAGCACGGCTTGCTGCTGTCCCAGCCAGCCCACCCGCCCTGCTCACTGCAGACGAGGCCAGCGGTTCAATTGTGAGGCAGGCCCCCTTCACTGAGGCTGAGCACTGCCCCTCAGCCGCTCACAAAGCAGAAGCTGCTCCAGGTGGACTATAGGTGTGGAGGGAGAATGCTTTAGGTGCACTAAGAGAGCGTGTGGGAACGTGAGCACATCTGTGAGCGTATGAGCGTGAGAGTGCGTGTGAGCACGTATGTGAGCACGTGAGCGTGTATGGGCATGTGTGAGCACGTGAGCATGCATATGTGAGCATGAGTGTGTGAGTACGTGAGCGTGCATGTGTGAGCACATGTGAGCATGTTTGTGTGAGCACGTGTGAGCATGTGAAAGCATGTGTGTGAGAGCACATGTGTGGATGGAGCACAGAGCCAGCTGGGAAGGGGGGCAGGGGAAGCTCCCAGACACCCTCACCCTAAGACTGGGCGAAGGGGCACTCTAGAGATCCATGCTTCAGGAAGGTGACAGCATGGAAGTGCAGTTTAGGAGGAGGGTGGGGGTGGGGGTGGCATCGCAGCTGTTTTCTGCTGCTGTCCCAGCCCAGGTGGCTCCCAGCTCCTTGTCCTCATGCTTGTCCCTCTTGCCTTGGCCCCTGGTCCTGTTGGCTCACCTGGAAGCCCTGCCCCTCTTTCCTTCCTGGGCCCACCCCTCCCCACACCCCTCCTTCTGCTGGTGCTTTCTGTACCCTGGCAGCACTTTCTTCTGTTTAGAACATACACACTTAAGCCGGGCACGGTGGCTCAAGCCTGTAATCCCAGCACTTCGGGAGGCCGAGGCGGGTGGATCACGAGGTCAAGAGATTGAGACCATCCTGGTCAACATGGTGAAACCCCGTCTCTACTAAAAATACAAAAAATTAGCTGGGCATGGTGGCACGTGCCTGTAATCCCAGCTACTCAGGAGGCTGAGGCAGAATTGCCTGAACCCAGGAGGCAGAGGTTGCGGTGAGCTGAGATTCTGCCATTGCACTCCAGCCTGGGTAACAAGAGCGAAACTTCGTCTCAAAAAAAAAAAAAAAAAGAACATACACACTTAAAACACAGTAATTCCCGGCCCGGGCATGGGGCTCATGCCTGTAACCCCAGCACTTTGGGAGGCCAAGGTCGATGGGTCACTTGAGGTCGAGAGTTTGAGACCAGCCTGACCAACATGGTGAAACCCCGTCTCTACTAAAAATACAAAAATTAGCCGGGCGCGGTGGTGTGTGCCTGCAATCCCAGCTACTCAAGAGGCTGAGCCATGAGAATCCCTTGAACCCAGGAGGCAGAGGTTGCAGCAAGCCGAGATCTTGCCATTCCACTCCATCCTGGGTGATGGAGTAAGAATCAGTCTCAGAAAACAACAACAACAACAAAAAACAGTAATTCCCACAGTCATCCATATTTTTAAAAAATAATTCTAGGCCTGGTGTGGTGGCTCACGCCTGTAATCCCAGCACTTTGGGAAGTCAAGGTGGATGGATCACCTGAGGTCAGGAGTTGGACCTCAGCGTGGCCAATGTGATAAAATCCCATCTCTACTAAAAATACAAAAATTAGCCGGGCATGGTGGCGCGTGCCTGTAATCCCAGCTACTCAGGAGGTTGAGGCAGGAGAATTGCTTTAACCAGGAGACAGAGGTTGCAGCAGTGAGTTGAGATTGCATCACTGCACTCCAGCCTGGGCAAGAGTGAAACTCCGTCTCAAAAAAAAAAGATTCTACACTTATTGCTATTAAAAACAAAATACTAATAGCAAAGCTATCCTGAACATGATGAACTTGGTTCTGGGCTACATACTTCCTTTTATTTTATACTCTCAATTCATCCTGACAGCAACCTTCTGAAGAGCCATTATCACCCTCTTACAGTTGGGGACACTCAGAGAGGTTAAAGAACGTTAACATGACACAGCTAAGCTAGCTGGTCAGAAGCGGCCTTGGCCTTGAATCCTGACTCTCTGACCCCAAGCCCATGTCCTGACCCCTCTGCTTCACTTCAGAGCAAAGCTGCTCCCAAACCTCCCGGGTTTCAGTCCACTTTCTCCAAGGCAAATCATTTAGGCCCAGCCTCTTTCTGTGTCTCTGGGTTGTTGGGCCCCGGGTGGTGGGAGTCCACCAGGCCAGCACAGTTTTATGCCTAGCAGGGGGGCTGGGGCCACAGAGCAGAAGCCATCACTGTCCTCAGGGGTCTGAGTCTGGGGGTGATGGCTGGTGGCAGCTGCAGCCCACTCTGTAGGGGCCACAAGAGAACCCCACTCAACACAGGTGCTGGCTGGATACCCCACTGAGCTGGACAAGCTGCAGAACCTGGTGGTCACCTACTGCTCAGAGCTGTCAGATATGAAGATCATGTCCCAAGATGCCATGATGATCACGGATGAGGTCAAGGTGGGCTGGGGGCCCTCCAGGGCTGGCTCTCTCAGATCTTCCTGGCCAGGGTCCCTCAGGAGATCCCCACACCCACAATGCCTACAATCCCTGGCAGGATCCAGTGGCCAGCCCTGCCAGCCTGCTCTGCTCGCCCACTGGACAGAGCAGGTCCTGTCAGGCCAAGGAGCCATGAAGTAGAGGAGGCAGAGGATCGGCCAGGGCAGAGCAGGGGTCCCTGCCCACCCAGCCTGTATCCCCCAAGGCCCCTGCCAGGCTCTGGGGATACAGCAGGGACCAGGACAGGCAGGCCTGGGCCTCCTGAAGAGGGTGGCACTCATCCAACAGCCCAGGAAGAAATGCCACACAGCCCCAGGGCCAGCCTGGCAGAGAGAGGTGGGCGGCAGATGGCTTTCCAGGGAGGCAGTGCTTGAGCTGGGCTCAGGGAGGGGGCCTGCAAAGGTGGAGGTGCCGGGGCCGGGGACGAGGAGGTGATGTCCTGGCCAGGAGGGGCGTGGCGCGCGGAGCAGCGTGTGGCTGCTGGGCCCGGGGTGGGGGGGGGACTACGCACTGACCTGGAGCCCTGGGCGGAGGTGGGGGGAAGATGTGAGCAGGTCTGTGCTTCAGAAAGGGTGCACTCAGACTGTGGGGACTGGAAGGTGCTGGCGCAGAGGCCCCGATCACCTGGGCAGGCTGGGGCGAAGGGGTGGCCGGGAGCAACGGAACTGAGACGTTCTCAAGAGGCAACCTCACTAAGCTCTGGCAGCGGGTGTGGCAAGGGTGAGGGCGGGCTCCGGGCGCCTGAGGAGGGGTGGACAGAGGATGGTTTTAGCTATGCAGGGGCATGCTGGAAGAGGCCAGGTTTTGGGGAGGAGGATGACTCTGTTTTCAGGCAGGCTCAATCTACTTTTGTGAGTTTTCCATGGACCTGGCCAGGAGGCAGCTGGGGGCCAGAGGCTGAAGGGCAGGGGAGCATCTGGGCTGGCGCATGCTCCGAGAGGCATGGGCGAGCAGGGCCCTAAGCGGAGGCCGCCAGGGGCACGGCTGGTTTAGGAAGAGGGTGTGGCTGGTGGCGGGGATGCATTTTCCAAGTCTACTAAGGTGAGGATGGCCAACTGGCTGCTGGCTGCAGTGCCATGAGGGCCCTTGTTGAGACAGTCACTGACCCTTGCCCACCCCATGTCCTCAGAGGAACATGAGGCAGAAGCAGGCGTCCTTCATCGAGGAGCGCAGGGCCAGGGAGAACCGGCTCAACCAGCAGAGGAAGATGATCGACAAGATCCACACGAAGGAGACCAGTGAGAAGTACCGGCGGGTGAGCCCCGGACCCGGGCCCTACAGCAGCGGGGTGGACAGGCTCAGGGCTGAGGGCCCCACGACAGCTGGGTGGACAGGCTCAGGGCCGAGGGCCCCACGACAGCGGGGTGGACAGGCTCAGGGCCGAGGGCCCCATGACAGCGGGGTGGACAGGCTCAGGGCCACCACTCGGGCCCACTCCCTGCAAAGGATGTCTCATCCCCCTCCCCGCCCCCCACCTCCCATCAGGGCCAGATGGACTTGGACTTCCCCTCGAATCTGATGAGCATGGAGATCCTGAAATGTAAGCACTCAGCTCTCCAGCTGCACCTCCCGCAGCCAGGATCCCAAGGAGAGGCTTGCACTGGCTCGGGCCAGCAGGTCAGATCACCCAGGGGCCAGGTGTCGCATGCAGTCATCGGGGGAAGGGAAGGACGAGTCCCTGCCTCTCTCTGCAGAGGCTGACAGCCTGCAGCCAAACGTGGCCTCAGAGATCCTGGCCCCAGCACCCAAGGGCTCCATACACAAAGGCCCAGTCCCCAGTGACTGCAGAGGATGGGCACCCCGGCCCCTAAGCCATCTTTGAGAAGCACTGCTGAGCCCACCATGCCACATGGCTCCTCATCTGCCCCTGCTCTGGGGCTGCCGGGATGTCCCTACAGGGCCAGGCTAAGGAGGGAGCAGGTCTGGGGGCAGGCACCTCTGAAGGACGCCTGTGCCTTGGGTGGCCTCCCCATCGCTGGGTAGGTACAGAGGTGTCCAGTGGCCTCACGCAGAGCCCATGAGCCAGCCCTGCATGCTGACCGCCCCTCCCCTCTGCTCTGCCAGTGAGGAGAAAGGAGACCTCCACAGCGGAAATGGAATACCAGACGCTCGTGACTGCTGCAGTGGAGAAGGTCAAGGGCGCTGTGCAATGCTCCCACATCTGGGTAATGCTCCCACGTCTGGGTAACGCTCCCACGTCTGGGTAACGCTCCCTGGCGTTCACAGAGCACGTCAGGAGGGTGGCTGAGCGGGGAGGGGTCTGCAGGCGCTCTGGCATGGACACACAATGCAGCTCCCCAGGCCTTGCAAACCCTTTTCTCTTAATCCCATCCGGGTTTATACAACTCTATCTATCTGTCTCTCAATATATACATTTTTTTTTTTTTTTTTTTGTGAGATGGAGTCTTGCTCTGTTGCTCAGGCTGGAATGCAATGGTGCTATCTCTGTTCACTGCAACCTCCGCCTCCTGGGTTCAAGCCATTCTCCTGCCTCAGCCTCCCAGGTAGCTGGGACTACAGGCATGCATCAACATGCCTGGCTAATTTTTTTGTATTTTTAGTAGAGTTGGAGTTTCACCATGTTGGCCAGGCTGGTCTGGAACTCCTGACCTCAAGTGATCCACCCGCCTCAGCCTCCCAAAGTGCTGGGATTACAGATGTGAGCCGCTGCACTCGGCCCTGGGTTTATCATAACTAGGCCTTGAGCTCCCATCCACTGCCCTGACACAAGCTTGTCCACTATCAGACAAGAGACTCAAAATGACACGGTGTCCCTCAGTGACGGTCTCCTTATCTCTAAACGGGGTTATCTACCCTCTCTATCTATCTCTCTAACGGGGTTATCTCACCCACCAAGCGCTTCACTCCTGCTGAGCATGGTGGTGCACACCTGCAGTCCCAGCTACTCAGGAGACTGAAAAGTGGGAGGGCTGCCTGAGTCTGGGAGGTTGAGGCTGCAGTGAGCTGTGGCTGCACTTGTGAATGAGTGCAGAGAATGTGCACTAGCCTCTGGGAGGCGCCCAGAAGAAAGCAGTTTTGTGAAGCCTCCTGTGCCTGCCTTCCGGGCCCACACCTGCTTCTCCCTCCCCCGACCTGGCCAGGACATTGCTGGCCGCTTCCTGGCCCAGAGGAACACAGAGGAGAACCTGGAGCTGCAGCTGGGGGACTGTGAGGAGCGGCGGCTGCAGCTTAAGGCCCTGCTGAAGCAGCTGGAGCTGGAGGAGGCTGTGCTCAAATTCCACCAGAGGCCCAGCTCCATCAGGTGCTCCCGGCTTCTGGGGCTGCAGGCCACCCACCAGGGTCCCACGAAGGCCCCTGGGCTGCAGCCAGGCTGGGAGCTGGGAGTGTACCCACTGCTAACAGGCCTGTGTGTCCCACAGAGGGGCTGGGGACTCCATTTGCCCACACCAGAGCTTCTGAGTCCCTGACTTTAGCACAGCACCCAACTCAGGACTGGGCTCCTGGGTGGCCCTCGGGCCTGTGCCCCTCACTGCTGTGTCCCTGTTGCCCTCTGCAGCTTCAAGTCCATTGAGAAGAAGATGACGGACATGTTGAAAGAGGAAGAAGAGAGGCTGCAGCTCATGCACAGCAACACGACCAAGGGCCAGAAGCTGCTGCTGACCATCCAGATGGGCGTCGACAACCTCTATGCCCGGCTGATGGGCATCCCCTTGCCCTCTGCCCAGGTACAGGGAGTGGGGCGGAGCTGCCGTACACAGGGTCCGTGGGCAGGGCCACAGGGGAGATGAGACCCACCTCCCCGCCTGCAGAGAGAAGTGGTGCCCTCCGACGCCCTCGATTTGTACAGCAAGCTGGCGTACTGCGAGGGGAAGCTCACGTACCTGGCTGACAAAGTGCAGACGGTGTCCAGGACGGAGGAGGTAGCCCCGGGCTGGGCGGGACCTGCACAGCCCACGCCCCCTCGAAGCTGACAGCGCCTGGTTCAGAGTGTCTGCACGGTTGAAGGGGGCTCTGTCCCGCAGGCCGACACGAAGGTGAGGGACGCCCTGGAGTCCTCGACTCTGAAGGAGAAATACAACACCCGGATCAGCTTCGAGGACCGAGAGGAGGACATGATCGGTACAAGCCTCGGGTGGCTCCCCTCCCACCAGGACACCCGGGAGGGACGGCAGGGCTTCAGGGCGCGTCCGTTGTACCTGCGGGACTTTAATTGATGGAGGGGCCTCAGTGATGCCCTGGGAGGAGGCCAGAGCCACTGAAATCACTTATGACTTCGTTTCTCCGAAAGGAGGGGCGTGCCGTGCCAGACAGGCAGGCGGGAGAGGCGCGGGGGCTGGTCAGGAGCAGGGAGGAGCGCGGGGACGGCCCGGGCCAGGGCCTCCGCGGGGTTCCGCGGGCAGGACGGGGCAGGGCAGTGCCCGCAGCCGAGGCGGGGCCGTCCCGGGGCTTGGCCGGGCGCCTGGGTGAGCCGCCGCTCCCGCCCACAGACAGCTTTCAGTTCGCCGACGTGGACCACAGCTACGTCCCGTCGCGCGCCGAGATCAAGAGGCAGGCGCAGCGGCTGATCGAGGGGAAGCTCAAGGCGGCCAGGAAGAAGAAGAAGTAGCCCCGCCCGGCCCGCTCCCCGCTTTGTTACACAAATAAACGTTTTTCCGGGACCCCCGCGGGCGCCGGGGCGGCAGGGGTCTCGGGGAGCAACACGGGGCACTGCGCCCCCGGGGAGGCTCGGCGGGAACCGCGCGCCGCGACCGCCCGCGCATGCGCCGACCGCGCGCGCCGCCGCCCGTGGCCCTCGCGGCGCCCCGTAGCCTCGCGCCCCCAGCGTCCCGCCGAGCTGGTGCCAAGATGGCGGCGCTGACGCCTGGAGGGCGGCCGTGCCTGAGGCCGCGGGGGCCGGAGCGGAGCCGCCGCGGCTGAGGTTTCCGAGCCGCCGCTCGAGGCTGCGCTCCACCGCCGGGACTCCGGCCTCCAGGGAGGCCGGGGCCGCCGGGACATGGTGCGAGTCGCGCCGCTTCCCCGCCGCCGCTGAGCTTGCCGGCCGCGCCCGGGCCGGGACGTCCGAGCGGGAAGATGTTTTCCGCCCTGAAGAAGCTGGTGGGGTCGGAGCAGGCCCCGGGCCGGGACAAGAACATTCCTGCCGGGCTGCAGTCCATGAACCAAGCGTTACAGAGGCGCTTCGCCAAGGGGGTGCAATACAACAGTGAGTCCGGGGGGCGCGGGAGGGGTGGGGGGCGGGCGCGGGGGGCCCCGGGGGGCGGGGGCGGGGGCGTCTCGCGGGTCTCCTGGCCCTGCCCCTGCCCCGGGCGCTGCGCGGTGGGCGTCCATCTCGCCTGCCCGCCCGTGGTGGGGTGCGCTGGGCCCGCCGGACGCTCCGGGAGCGGGGGCGCGGCCCAGGGGACCGGTGCAGAGGCCGGGCCGGGGCCGGGGCCGGGTCCTGGTCCTCACGGCCCCTGAACCGCGGATCGTTTCCCGCCCGCGCGCGCCCGCTCGTGTCGCTCCCGCCGCGCTGTGCAGCGGAGCGGGTCGGCGGCGCCCGGATTGGCCCGGCTGCCCGGCCCGGGGTGGTTACATAACGCCGGGCAGAGCCCGCCGGCCCCGGGCACCGTTCACCTGGAGGAGGAGCGGGGAACCCTGCCGGGATTTTTTTGACGACTTCCTGTTGAGTTTGAAGACGGAATATTAGCGACGCCACACGTTTTCGCCTTTTTGTTTTTTTAAAGAAGCCTTTGTAAGGGACGTATTTAGAAAAGCTCCAGAAGGCACGGGCTGACTTGCAGTTGTGGGGACATTGCATTCCCCCTGGGAAGGAGAAGTCATTTACAGACTCCTGAGCGCCTGGGACGTTCCCTTCCTTTGTTATAAATTATGTAAATGGTCCTCTTGACCTCTTTTGAGTTTTTCCATTTTGCGGGCTCTTCCCTGGTCGTCTTCTGTGGTTCTCTGCTTTGATATTGTTTCTTCTCTTAGCCATTTCCGTGTATTTCTATGAGATGTTAGGACCCTACGCCTCTTGAGTTTCTGCCCACTTTAAGGGGAACCTTACAGTCTCCACGATATTTCCATGGTAATGTAGGATTTTAAGAACTGATGATCAGAAAGACTCTTGTGCATGAATGCGCCTGCCGTGTCCACGGAGACAGCGGTCGTGCCTGGGGCTGGAGTTAGTCCAGGAGGACGGTGAGGAGGTCGGCTTCCTTAGTCCCGGTCGGCCTGTGAGCACAAGGAAGCTTCAGACCCCCTGGGCCGCCCTCACCCTGTCACCTTCAGCAGGAAGCTAGATAAAACAGCTTAAAGATCAACCTGAGCATCTGGGTGTGAAAATTGGTGTCCAGAGCAGGGGCTGTACTGGCCTTTCTTATACTCTAGAACATACGAAGACAAAGAGATTTTGACGAAGTTCACACTGGAGTGCTCATCAAAAAGAAGGCACGTCTAACCATGTTGAGGAACAGAAGTGGATTATGTTGAAGACAAATTATCCATTCAGTTTGTGTTCAGTAACCCAAACATCAAAGGAACTTGAGGCTGTGGAGAAAGCTTTACTATTTTAAATCTCAGGACTCCTCTGGCCAGGAGCTCCTGGAAATCCTATGGCAGCCCTGGGGCGCTAAGAAGAAGAAGTCATGACTGTAACGTGCTGCATGTGTGGCTGTGTCCGGTAAGGAAAATAAAGCCGTGCATTTTGAATAAAAATAAAAGCAAGCTCATTTTAAATGTGTTATACTCGAAATTTTATGCTTATCTGACATTCAGAGAAGAGAGTGTTATGTCAGAATACTCAGTTTACACAAATTTTTAGACTCTGCATTTGGATTCCTTATTTAGTTTTATTGCTTACTGTATTGGCTGATGTTGTAAGTAAAATTTCCATGCCACAAAAGAAATAGTACTCGAAGATAAATCCTTTCAGCAAGGCAGTTTGTTTCTATAGAAGGCTGCAGCCCACGGGTGGAGCAATGGAGGCTACACGGTTGGACAAGCAGGAAAGGGCTACTTATGCCTGACGGAGTCGTCCCTACTGCTGTGTTGTTCCCCTATTGGCTAGGGTTAAACCACGAAAGCTAGACTAATCCTGAGTGGCTATTGCAAAGAGAGCAGGGGTCCCAGCTGGAGTGACGAGGTGGGTGTTTTGGAGGGAAAGATGGTTACCAGCAAGCCAGAGCAGATAGCCAGGGGTGACGTAGGTCAAAGGTGACTGGAGCAGGTGACTGGGATGAGTCAGGATGTGGGGGGAGTGGGGAGAAGATGTGAAGTACTGATTAGAACCAGTGGAGAAGGTTGTTACTGGAATTACAAGGAAGTTGAACTTTAAAATAGTGAATTAAAGAATAAGAGAGCTGAACATACTGACATACTCTTTGAAGAGAAACTTGGAGTTCACTGTATCTAACACTAAGCTCAATGTTAGTGATATTAGGGCCCCTAGGAAATCGGGCCGGGAACTGGAAACTGCACGTTCTGAAAAGACTCCCTGAGCAGTCCACCCCTGCGTGGCCTGACCGAGTGTGACTAAAAAGGGCAGTGGGGTCCCTGAGAGGAGAAAAGCCGCCTCCAGGAGTTGGAGAACAGGTTATGATCTCCTAGAACTGAATGAAAGGGGGTGAGACTGAGAAATTTCACATTTTAGAAATGTTTCTTTATAGTTGAATAATATGCAATTTTAAAACTTTTTAACTTTCTGTGTTAGAATAGAAACTTTCTAGTATTGACTTTCTCAACTATTTTACTGAGGGTAACAGACCAGCAGTATGATGAAGACAGAGTAGGGGTTTTTGGAGGTGAAAGTTTCAGTGAACTGCTGCTGGTTTCCAGGAGTCTGGGCTGCCCTCCTGGGCCCTGCGTTTACAAGGAGTCACTAGTGGCCCCGGCAGAGTCCCAGGACACCCACGGGTTTAGAATCAAAAGTTGAGTGAGACATTGGACCACAGTTGATGAAAAAAGTCAGACTCTGGAATATTTGAAGAGATTTATTTTTGAGCCAAATATGAGTGACTGTGGCCTGTGACACAGCCCTCAGGTGACCCTGAGACCATGCGCCCCAGGAGGTCAGGGCACAGCTTGGTTTTATACATTTTAGACAGACATGGGGCATTAATCAAATGCATTTAAGATATATGTTGGTTTGGTCCAGAAAAGCGGGACAACTTGAAGTGGGAGCTTCCAGGTTAGAGGTAGGTTTCAAAAAAAAATTTTTTTTTTTTTTTTTTTTTTTTGCTGGGCGCAGTGGCTCATGCTTGTAATCTCAGCACTTTAGGAGGCTGAGGCAGGTGGATCACCTAAAGTCAGGAGTTCAAGACCAGCCTGGCCAACATGGTGAAACCCTGTCTCTACTAAAAATACAAAAATTAACGGGGCATGATGGCGGGTGCCTGTAATTCCAGGTACTTAGGAAGCTGAGGCAGGATAATCACTTGAACCCAGGAGGAGGAGGTTGCTGTGAGCTGAGATTGTGCCTCTGCACTCCAGCCTGGGCAACAGACCTTGTCTCAAAGAAAACTTTTGCACCACCACACCCAGCCAATTTTGGTATTTTTTTGGTAGAGACAGGGTTTTACTGTGTTGCCCAGCTGGTCTTGAAGCCCTCTGCTCAAGCAGTCTGACACCCTCAGCCTCCCAAAGTGCTGGGATTACAGGCATGAGCCACTGCACCCAGCCCTCTTAACATTTTTTTGATTAGCAGTTGGTTGAAAGAGTTATTAAAAGAAAGGAACGTCTGAGTTACAATAAGAGGTTGTGGAAACCAATGTTTTATCATGCAGATGAAGCCTCTGGGTTGGAGGCTTCAGAGAGAGAATAGATTAGTTGTTTTTTTTTTTTTTTGAGGTGGAATCTCGCTGTCACCAGGCTGTAGTGCAGTGGCAGTGATCTCATCACTGCAACCTCTGCCTCCTGAGTTCAATCCGATCCTCCTGCCTCAGCCTCCTGATTAGGTGGGACTACAGGTGTGTGCCACCGTGTCCACTTAATTTTTTTGGTATTTTTAGCAGAGACGGGTTTTCACTGTGTTGGCCAGGATGGTCTCAATCCCTTGACCTCGTGATCCGTCCACCTCAGCCTCCCAAGGATTACAGGTGTGAGCCACTGCGCCTGGCCAGGTCACATTTCTTTTCAGACTTAAAGTCAGTGTTGATGTTAAATGCTGGTGAGCTTTTCCTGAATTCCAAGAGGGAGGAGGCGGTAATGAGGCGTGCCTGACTCCCCTCTTCCTATCTTGGCCTGAACCAGTCTTTCAGATGATTGGGAGGCCTTGGGATTTTAATTTTGGTTTACACAGCTTTGAAATTATTTGCATATAAAGTGGAAGAAAGACTGTTGCCTGAGTTGGTCTGTTCCTTTCTACTGTAATTGGACACAAAATATCAGCTGTGTTTGGTGCAGAGTTTTTCTGTGGAGTTGCTCCCGAGTGAGAATTATTGTGGAATTCTGACACTGGCCTCACCCAGGAGCTCGGACAGCCAGAATCCTCTCCAAGCAGACCTTGGTGCGAATTTAGAAATGGGATTTAGCAGGCAGGGCGTGATGGCTCACGCCTGGAGTCCAGCACTTTGGGAGGCCAAGGCAGGTGGATTACCTGAGGTCAGGAGTTCAAGACCAGCCTGGCCAACGTGGTGAAACCCCATCTCTACTAAAAATACAAAAATTAGCCAAGTGTGGTGGTAGGTATCTGTAAGCCCAGCTACTTGGGAGGCTGACAGGAGAATTGCTTGAACCCAGGAAGCGAAGTTTGCATCGAGCTGAGATTGTGCCGCTGTGCTCCAACCTGGGTGACAGAGTGAGACTCCGTCTCATAAAAAGTAAAAAAAAAAGGAAGTTAGGTGCTTCATCACTAAGAAACTATTTGAAAGTTTGATTTCAGGGCCAGGCGCGGTGGCTCACACCTGTAATCCTAGCACTTTGGGAGGCCGAGGTGGGTGGATCACCTCAGGTCAGGAGTTCAAGACCAGCCTGGCCATCATGGTGAAACCCCATCTTTAAAAAAAAAAAAAAGTTTGATTTCAGGGTAAAACAGCTTTTCCTTAGGAAATAAATCATAGCTGTGTCTACCATATTATTTGACCTGCCCCAGGAGAGCCAGTTTTCAAATTCCTGACCCTCTGTGGACATTGATGCCATGTTTTTCTTTATAGGTTTTTCTCCTGGTGCGTTTGTTCTTTTAGCAAATACTGAGTGTTCATCCGTGGAAAAAAAACAGACCAAAGC